CCTCCCCCATGCCCTCACCTCCCCCTTCACCTCCCCCATGCCCTCACCTCCTACCCTTGCATCTGGCAAGCCCTCACCTTCCGAACGTAGGACACGGCATCCTCCTCGGTGTACACCTCTGCGCTCACGCCCCCACGGCGGCGGCGGGCCTTCACCACAGGGTTGGGGGGCATCGGGGAGACCACCTCCTCCTCATGTGAGTCCGACTGGGAGCTGGACTTCTGCCGAGCCAGGATCTGTTTATTCTCCTCCTGGAGGGACCGAGAGGGGGTAAGTGAGAAGGGGGCTGCCACTGGGGTACAGGGCATTCACAGGTTTCCCTGACAGCAAGGGCGTGGTGGCTCCACGGTGACATTCTGCTTTCTGAGATGGTGAGTCGTCCAGTTCCAAACAGTTCCACTCACACACAACCACCTCTCCTGTCCCATCACACACGGCCTGGGTGCTGGCACAACACCGGGCAGGTTTCAGCACAACTTCCTCCCAAGATGGACCAGGAAAAAGGCCTGGGGACCAACAGTCAGACCACGAAACATCCAAAGGCTCAAGAAGTTGCAACACAGCCCAACCCTGGGCCACACAGACCCGGCCGTGCAGCCGGACCACAGGCCATGCAGGCCCTGCCGTGCAGCCTGACCACACAGGCCACACGATGCGGCCCGACCCCAGGCCATGCAGACCCCAGTGTGGCCCGACCCCGGGCCACGCAGACCCGGCTGTGCGGCCAGTCTACGGCCCACACAGAACCTGCCGTGCGGCCTGACCCTGCCATGTGGCCCAACCCTGGGCCACACAAACACCCCCCCACCCCCACCCCCACCGTGTGGCCTGGCCTCACACTGTGCAGATCCCGTGATATGGCCCAACCACAGCCGTGCAGACCACAGAGCTCCACAGCGGCGAGGTCTTGTGATTGGGCTGCCTCCAGCCACCTCAAAGCCACCACGCCTGGGCGTGGCGCATAACAGGTGCATGCTGGCATGTAAAAATCTGTTTCTTGGCTTAACACACAGAACCAGGAACATGAATCTCCATCCTCCTGTCAACTCTGAACCAGAGTTGGACGCTGTGTCATTGACAGCTGCACTGACTGCCACCATCTCAAGACTAAAACCTGAATCTGAATAATGTGGGCGACCCGGCAGGCCAGCCTGGGGCAGACGGGGAGTTCATCTCCAGTGCACCCTGGGAAACGAGAAAATGAGGGGCAGGACAGGGCAAGGCCCCGACAGGGCAGATCGCCGTGGTTCTTGGTTCCCTGGTGCCTGCCTGGTGGCGCAGTGGGGCCTGCATTGGGCTGCTAACTGAAAGGTTGCTGGTTTGCATCCACCTGCTGCTTCCAAAACCAATGGGCAGTCAGGAGTCAGAACTGCTGACCACCGTGGGCCTGGGGCTTCGCGGGCTGCTCAAGGTGCAGCAGCGTGCCGAGAGGTGTCAATGTCGAGAGAACGACTGAATGGGGCAGAGACAGGAGTGCACCCCTGCCGTGGGGAGAGGCCCCAGAGCTTGCCACAGGCGGCTGCAGCCTTCAGCCTGCGGGGTGCTCAATGCAGCATGCAAGAGGCAGCGCTCCCTCAAACCAAGTCCCCGAACAAACACAGCTGCTGCTGTCTTCATTGTAACTCCTAGGGCCCCTTCATTGGGGGCTCCCCAAAGCTGTAAACCTTTAGTTCCCTCTCAAACTACTGACCGTCCCCATCTGCAGCCCAGAGCCTGGCCCACCTCGCCACCAGGGCTCCGGAAGCCTATACATCTGAGGCACTCGAGGCCGAGGCTGCACGTCCTCAGGCTTCTGGTGACACATGGAACCTCATGCCTCTTACCATCTGAGCGGTCCAGCTCCATCCCACACACACTATCCTGCTTTAACCCCGAGGGGGTAACATCAGCCAGACGACGCACCCTGCTCTGAGCTGGGTGTGCAGAACCCACTCTGCTCCGCTGACCACCCCGTGCCCAGACCGAGCTGACAGTCAGGGACAGCCACTGCTCTGCTCCGCTGACCACCCTGTGCCCAGGCCGAGCTGATGGTCAGGGACAGCCACTGCTCTGCTCCGCTGACCACCCCGTGCCCAGGCCGAGCTGACGGTCAGGGACAGCCACTGCTCTGCTCCGCTGACCACC